AAGGACTGAAGTTCTAATAATTCACCCCACTATGCAAAACAACACGTCAACAGTTAATGTACTCTAAAATACACAATATTTACATCCAACACAACACCAAAGTTTATGTTATGTCCCAGTTTAGCTATAGTATCACCATCATGACTGGGAGGAAGAATTTTCACTGGGTTGGTGTCCACACTGAGCGAACAAATCACAAGACCAATCATGGTTTCCATGTATAATCTGCAAAACAAAGATGCAATTGTCATGAATGAACCAAACTTATTAATGCAGTGCATAACAGAACTCCCTGAAAAGATCATCAGAACAGCAACCTAAGTTTGTACAAAATACTAATAAGTTAGTTTCCAAATCAGCACTTCAGTGAAATACACTTGTTCCAGCAGGAGAACAACTTTAAAGAATGAGACCTTTCACAATAATAATTGTATTTCAATCCGCGCATAAACAATTTACACTAACATTGTGCACAACTAACCTGAACTTCTATGCCTTAAACAATTTCAGCTGCCTGCAAAACTTCTGTGTAAACAATATTTCTTGTGTAATTCAACCGATGTTCATTGAAAGGCGGCTTTATCAGAAGCTTTACAGATGCAGAAGTTTTAGCGCGTGACATTGCAACATAAAGTTGCCCATGCGAGAATACTGGTTCTCTCAAATATACGCCGACAGAGTCTAATGTCTGCCCTTGTGCCTTGTTTATTGTCATTGCGAAACACAGACGTAGGGGGAACTGTGTGCGTGTGTAAGGAACGGGATATTGCTCATCGGTTGGAGGCTCAAATGGTATTCTGTGTATGAAAACACTTTTGCCGCAGAACTCACCAACTGCAATTTCTGCATGAATGACATTTTTATCTAGTTTTTTACAAATAAGTCTTGTGCCATTACATAGTCCTTCGGTAGGGTCTAGGTTGCGTAGCAGTATAACCGGCGCATTTTCCTTTAGGCTGAGCCTATGCTCTGGTAAACCACTCGGTGTAAGCGAATTGATGAGGTCGCCATATTCAGCCTCATGAGATGGATTTTCAACTCTATCAAAACTCAAGTATTCCACTAAATTTCCTGGAAACTCATTAATAAGCTTCGTGTTTACCTCATCAACAAAACAATTCTTTGTCGTTAAAATGGCTCGATTTATGGACCGACTCACCTCTGTTAAGCTTGCTAGATCTGGATATATGACTTTTATGAGTTCATCCAACGACTCCTCAGCCATAGGGTCATTAATTGCTAGAGGAGCAGGGATCTTTATAAGATCATCTTCAAACGTCTTTTCCTGCCCATTGCCTATTTTTAGAAGTGTCTGAGTAAACAAAGGGTCCAAACGCGCCCTCATATTTTCTGTAAGCTTTAGTTTTTTAAGTAAAGGCCATAAGTATGAGCTAGTTAGACAAGCATCAACAGTTTCTTTCCTACTGCCCCTACGGACCACTGGAAGCACTTGCCTAAAATCGCCTCCAAATACAATGACCTTACCGCCAAAAATTTCAGAACAGCCACAGACGTCTTTAAGCGCAAGATCAAGCGCCTCTATGGCATCCCTTTTAGCCATCGGTGCTTCATCCCAAACAATTAGCACACTCTCCCGAATTAAGGACCCTAAACTACTCTGTTTACTAATACTGCAAGACTTGACATTCGACAAATCAATAGGGATTTTAAACCTTGAATGTGCCGTCCTACCGCCGGGTAATATGGACGCAGCAATACCAGATGTTGCGGTGGCCAGGCCTATACAACCTTTTGACCGGACAACTGCAAGCAAGGCCCGGTAAAGAAAGGATTTACCTGTTCCCCCAGGTCCATCCACAAAAAAAGCACCGTTTTTCCTATCATCAATGCATTTCATGATCACATCATAAGCTTTTTTTTGTTCTTTATTCAGTAGGTTAACGGTGTTCAAGTCCTCCTCAGAAACAATTATACTTCTCTCAGCATCAACCTCACGAGTATTTTTTTCGGGGCAGAAATCAAAATCAATAGGTAATAAATTGAAAGACCGGATATTCTTACCCATAGATTCCAAAAAATAGCCTACTTGTGCAAGCGCCTTTACTTTTGCCTCTACGGCAGTTAATCTAGTGTCCCTAAAGAAGTCTGCACACAGTTCCCCCTCAAATTTCTCCCACAATTGTCGTGGATTATTGGGGCATGCGTAAACCAATAGATTCGAAAATAAGCGGCGCATCTCGTAAGGCATTTGATACCGGGAGGCCTCCTGAAGACACAAATCCTGGCTGTTGTCATCCTCTAAGAACCCTCGATGAAGTGCCGCTTCTCTAAAATTCTCAGAATACCTGCCATTAAAAAACAAAAGATCATCAAAAGACTTAGGACACCGAACTTTTGACAAAAGTAATCTAAGATAATAACGTTCTCCCTCGCTAATATGTACAGTTACTAATCTACCAACACAGTCACGCTTTATTCTTTTTCTCCAACGTCTTTCGGTTGGCAGCCACACAAAATATTTTGGAAATTCTACATAAGTCAAGTTTTTCTTCTGCGCATATGGATCATTAGCATTCATGTAAAAGAATTCAGTAAGCATAGTTTTCCTGTTATGAGGGTTATTTACAATTC